CGAATTCCTGCCTGGAACACACAGGAAGAGAAGGGGAAATGGCGCTGCCCTGGCTCAGCTGGTGCTGCTGGACAGGGGATGGATCTGGAGCTGGATGGGGTCTCCCTGGATCCCGGAGTCCTGGGCAGCTCCCCCCTAACTGTGTCCATGGGGTGAGCTCCCAAAAAACCTCATGGAGCCTCTGCAGGCTCCCCAAGGAGGAGCAGGGCAGTGGAGAGGTCGTGGTTTTGTGGGAGCTGGATCCGTGAATCCCTCAGTCAGGAATTGATGTGGAATTCCCTGCTCCCACCCCCAGAGCGGGATCTTGGAACCCTTGGTCAGCCCAGCCTTAGGAATTTGCTTTCTGAGCCCCAAATCCAGCCTCATGCCCGTTAAGGCTGGAAAAAGGGCAATGTTGGGAGTTTCCTTAAAGCCTTCCAAAGGGAATTCATCCATGGCCACTAAAACCTTCCCATGGCCACCAAACCATCCATGGGCTTGGATGTGCTGCTCCTGCTCCCAAAATCCCTTTGGATTCTGGGATCACCTGCAAATGGCTGTCTCTGTATTCYAAATGGCATCACATCTCCAGTCATTTTTTATTTTATATTTCCATTTTTTCCTCCAGATCCCAGGCCACAGACATCATCCAGCCCTGGCAATGGACAAACAAAGGTGGCAGAGGGAAGAGGTTGATCCGTAGGCAGGGAGCAGAGACATCCCCATGTGGAAGTTCATTACAGCTCCAGGCTGTCATAAAAATGCCATTTAATCATTTCTTCACCACAAACTACTTAAAAAAAAAAAAATGTGTAATACACGCTGATGTCACTCCAGGAAAAATTAAAACAAGGAGGATGGGAAGGGGCTTTTTTTCCCAGCCTGCAGAAAGAATGTGGATATGGGCTATAAAATTAATTTCCTCTTTCTTCCTAAGCAGCACTGTCTGAGCTGAACAGCTACACTCATTATTCCCCTCTCCCAAAATGAAATAGAGGGACTTTTCTCRCCCGTGGATCCCTGCAATTATCTTGAGAAGCCTTTTTTGTTGACAGCCWGGGGTCAAAAGGCGGCTCTGGCTTCACCTGATCTCATTGACTTTGCGGAGACATTCCAGCCCCACGCCAGCGCACAGCCACCAGCCCCGAGCACGGGACACACAATGCTGCCATTCAGGGCTGCAAAACTCATGGAAAATCCTTCTCCTCCCGCGGCCRGGATCGGCAAAGGGTTGGGGAGGGTGAGGCGTGGAAAGGCAGTTGTGCAAGCGGCAGTCATTTCTGATCAAAACGCTGGGTTTTGGGTAAAAATTGATCTGAGTTTTCCTCACAGGGAAATGAAATGGGAGAGTTAAGTGTAAACTGAGGAGTAAGGAATGAAATTCTGGAGATCTTGGGAATGTSYAGCTCACCTTAAACCCTRAATTTAGCTCTGGATTATCCARGATGCTGAATTTACCTGTCTGGCAMCTTYCTGAGCATCCACCCTGCATCATCTTGGAGTTTTACCCGCAGTAAACGTGCAGAGTGTGTTCACAGCCCCTCCAAATCCCGGGAGCTACTCCCACTGGGATTGCTCCCACGGGTGCATCCACGGCTAAGTCATGAAATAGGGAAAGGTGTGCCAGGATGAGCTTTTGGGTCCTTTCCAACCCAAACCGTTCCAAGATTTGATGATTCCAAGGCTCCCATTGCCACTCACACCTATGGAATGGAGTTAAACTAAAATAGAGAATACAGACCTGTGATATCTAAAAATCAGGATTGCATTTCCATGATCCTCGTGGATCYCTCTCAACTCCAATATTATGGTAAAACATAGCACAGATCTATTTTATAATAGATAATATGATTTTRTTGCTTTGTTTCTGTAGATACCAGTGAAAAGTAAATTTATTTTTGCAAAGCTCGTGGGAAGTAAAACCAAGTGCRGCCAAAGTGAACAGATTTAAAAGCTGTTTGGGGTGTGCAATCTTTGGGATGAGAGCTGGTGCCACACCAGGAGAAGGGAAAGGAGACAGTGAAGAGGTTGAGGCCAGTCCCCAGAGCCCTGAATGGGATCCACCCTGCTGGATCCCACAGTGCTCTCCCGGGAGCCAAGGACGCTTCAGTGCAATCCTTTGCTTCAAAATTCTGGATAATTTGCGATTTTTAATGTCATTATTTGGGGTGATTCAGCATTTTATCACACACAGATATTTGAACTCTGTTTTATGAGGTAAAGCCACTCCAAGAAGAAAGCATGGATCGTTCACAAAGATATTCCCACTTCYCTTTTTTTCCTCCTTTTCCCCTCAAAGTGGGGAGCCAGGGTTGGAGGCAAACCCCTACCTCAGCACACAGAGAGGGCAAAGCCAAAACACATCCATTTTCCAGGCATAAATCAGGATTAAACGGAAATCTGCAGTGTCACGGGAGGGAGGAGAAGGGAGGGARGGGAATTACGCCKCACTTTGGCTCCGGCTGGAATCAAATCCTTTTGCCAGGAGCGCTGGAAAGGAGCACGGAGAAAATGGTGTCCCCTTCCAGCCCCTCTTGGCAGCGGCTGCAAACGGCACTTTTGGGGTGGAATTCTGCACTTTTGGGGTGGAATTCAGCTCTACAATCTTTCTCCATGGGCTGCAGCTTCATTCATCATCATCACTTTTTATTTCCTCCTCGTTTTCAAGCCTTTTCTCTCAACCAGGGAGGGCTGAAATTCTTTAATCACAATTTTTAATTCCTTAATCACAATTTTTTCCTCCCAGGCTGAGACCCCTTTGCTGCCTGAGCTGACAAACCCGAGCAGCGACCAAACATTTCCCTAAGGAACCAAAACTAAAAGTCACAAATGTAACAATTCTAATGACYGTGTTGAAAAAACAAACTAACCAAGACAAAGTTACAAATGTAACAATTTTTCAGGACTGTGTTAAAAAAAATTTAAATTTATAAAAGTACCAATTTTTAAGGACTGTGTAAAAAATAAACCCATGCAAAAATTACAAATGTAACAATTTTAATGACAGTGTTGAAAAACAAAATAAAACCCAAACAAAAGTCACAAATGTTATCATTTTAATAGCATTGTTGAAAAAAGAAATCAACTAACCCCAACACCCAACCTATAATTTTGTTGCTCCCGTAATTCAGAGGGATTTATTTACAGGGGCTCTCCAAGCAGAAAAGAGAWTTTCTTCCTGTGAAATTCCTACAGAAGGAAAATCGACTGGGGCTAAAACCACGGAGGTTGACCTCGCAAACCCGGCCTCATGTGAGCAGTCTCACTGAAATCCTGTGAAATCCTTGGGATTACAGGCATGGAAATGCCCTTCTTAAAGGAAAAAAAAAATCAAATAAATATATCTATATTTAATAAAAAATAAAATCCCAGAGCAGACACAAAGTACAGGGAAAAGGAGCGAGGGGGAAAAATAAAACAGACTAAAAGGAAAAGAAATCCTTGATCAAAATGTTTTATTTTTAAGATTCTATCTCCTTCCAAGCTGTTTTCCGGGTTTGTCCCAGCACAGAAAATAGGCTCAAGCAGAAAGAAAACAGAACACGGCCTTGATAAAAAGCACTTTTTAATTTTATCAAATGGATCTGTACAAAAGTTAGCATTGCTTAGTCAGAAGCGAGTGAAGAGAACAGATCAGTAACAGCCAAAAGTCTTTCAAACTTTATACAGAAAAATAGATTGCATAAAAATGAGCTTTTTTTGTCTTTTCCCCTGCCCCAGCATGTCCCTCCCCTCCCACCCCCGAAAGGAAATACGCAAAAAAATATTTTTTTTTTTTTTTTTAGAAAAAAGAGTAGGAAACGTAGAAAAGGTAAAAAGATGAATAACCTCTGCAAGGCGGGTTTAGATTTACAAAGGTTTTAAAGGCACGAGTTCCCATAAAATAGACGGTTATTTATATGCTCAGCATACAATGGAAGAAGTAGAAATATATCAATGAAATATTAGTCTAAACACTAAGTACCTAAAACAATTTTTTTTAGTGGAGGAGATTTTAGTTTCACAGCTTGATGGATGATCTCTGGTCCCTAGAAGCCAAAATTAAAGCAGAAGTTGATCATTTCTCATTAAATCACAGCTTCCTTAAAGTAGTCCTGGTTCTGAAAGCCTTCGAAGACTCCTTAAATCCCATTTTAACAGCCCAAAACAGGTGGTCAGAAATCACCTGCCCTTTGCAGCCAGTCTTGGAGCCTCCCAACGGAATTAGTAATTTCCCCCCCTTGTTATTTGACATTCCCATTGGAGTTTCCAGGCGGATTCCTTCAGTCCCATTCTCCAGCACAGCTCCTGCAGCGGTTCCAAAAGGAAAAAACCCAAAAACCAAGGAAAATCTATAGACTCATAACACCAGTTTATTGTATCATCTCCACTATTTTTTAGGCTCCCTCCCCCACCTTTAAAATCTTTTAAAATTCTACTTTTTTTTTGTCTTGCACAAAATTACTTCATTAATTAAAAGACAAAATAATA